GCCCCCGCAAGATGGACGGTCGAGATGAAAGTCCAATCTTGGTCTTGAGAAATTGAAACCGTTGGCGCGGAAGTGGTTTGGTGAGTGCATCCGCTAGCTGATCAGCAGAGGAGACATGAGTCACCCGAAGCATACCATTTTGAACTTGTTCTCGAATGAAGTGATAGTCTAAAGCAACATGTTTCATGCGCGAATGAAAAACAGGATTAGAGCATAGGTTGGTGGCACCGACATTGTCGCAGTAGATCACAGGTTGTTGAGGAAGGGTAACACCAAAGTCAGTGAGAAGGGAGCAGATCCAACGAATTTCGGCGGCCGTGGCCGCAACCGAGCGATACTCAGCTTCGGTAGAGGAGCGTGCAACGGTACGTTGCTTCTTAGAACTCCAGGAAATTGGATTGCGACCAAGATAAACAAGGTATGCACTAGTGGAGGTGAAGTCATCTTTGTTACCCGCCCAATCGGCATCAGAGAAGGCATGAAGAGCTAAAGTGGAATGGCGATGAAGCATGATACCCTGATCAAGAGTTCCACTGAGATAGCGTAATAGGCGTTTAACAGCATTCCAATGTTCACTGGTAGGTCGGTGCATGAACTGAGACAATTTATTGACCGTATAAGCAATGTCTGGGCGTGTCAACGAGAGGTATTGGAGACTGCCTACAATAGTCCTGAACTCAGAGGGATCAGATAAAGATGTACCAGAGTATAGTGTGAGTAGTGGACTAGTGGCAAGAGGCGTTGCAACAGGCTTTGTATTGGTCATGCGAGCTCGAGTGAGGAGATCGAGGATATAGCGACGTTGATTGAGAAAGAGGCCATGAGTATTGGTAGTAACTTCAACCCCAAGGAAGTATGTTAAGGGGCCAAGATCCTTGAGGGAAAAACGTTGAGATAAGAGTTGGATAAATGTCTGTATAGCCCCTGCATTGTCACCGGTAATAATGATGTCATCAACATAAACAAGGAGATAAAGTAATGTACCACCATTGTTGAAGACGAATAGAGAGGTGTCTGCATGCGAGTTGGTGAAGCCAGAGGTGATAAGGAACTGGCGCAACTCATGATACCAGGCACGGGGAGCTTGTTTGAGGCCGTAGATAGCCTTGTGAAGTTTACAGACATGGTGAGGATTATCATTATCTATGAAGCCTTGTGGTTGTAGCATAAACACATCCTCAGAAAGAGTGCCTTGGAGAAAGGCATTATTAACATCAAGTTGCCTGATAGACCAGCCACGACTGACGGCAAGGCTGAGAGCAAGTCGGACAGTAGTTGGCTTTACAACTGGACTAAAGGTATCATGATAATCAACCCCAGGGCGCTGGTGAAACCCCTTAGCAACCAAACGAGCCTTATACTTATCAATAGAACCATTGGGTAAGTATTTAGTACGAAAAATCCATTTGCAACCAACCACATTCTGTGAGGGATTAGGAGGAACAAGCTTCCAAGTCCCATTGCGGACAAGAGCATCATACTCATCTGACATAGCTTGGCGCCATTTAGGGTCTTTAAGGGCCTGTGTCACAGATGTAGGTTCAATGTTGTCGGTGGTATAGAGTTGGGCGGTAAGATTAAGCTTTTGAATGGGTTTGTGGATGTTATGTTTGGATCTAGTAACTACGACTCGGGGTGAAGATGTTGATTCAGGGGGTTGGGAAGTGATGGATGAAGTGGTTGGTAGAGCGGAAGTGGGTATTTGAGATTGGTAGGATGGTATTAGTGCGGCCGCAATGGAGGATGGCACAGCAGTACTAGGAATCGGAGTTTCGGGATAGCTACGTTGGATGTCTGGTGTAGCTGAGATGGGACTCGAGTTTGGGGCCATTTGTGGTGGTATGGGGTGGTTGGAGGTGGTGATTGTTGGGGGCGTCGAGCCGGATGTAGAGGATGGTGTGTTGATGACCGGAAGTGACATAGGACACCATTGAGGAAGTGTGATCGAAGGAAGACGATCTAGATCAGTTTGAGTAGTGGCAAATGGAAAGATAGACTCTACAAATTTAACATGACGAGAAGTGTAAATACGTGAGGAGGAGGGGTCTAGACACAAGTAGGCACTTTGAGTGGATGAGTACCCTATAAACACACATGGAGAAGAGCGGGGTGCAAGTTTGTGAGAGGCGTATGGCCGAAGCCAAGGATAACACAGGCACCCAAAACTACGAAGTTTAGAATAGTTGGGTGGGGTGCCAAAAAGTTTGGTATATGGTGAGAGAAGACCGAGAGTAGGGGTGGGAAGACGATTTATTAGGTAGACCGCGGTGGAGAAGGCGTAGGTCCAATGGGACACTGGCATGGAAGCATGCGAGAGGAGAGACAGCCCAGTTTCAACTATGTGACGATGACGACGCTCAGAGTACCCATTATGTTCTGGTGTATGAGGAGGAGAAGTGAGATGAGACACACCATTGGTTGCTAAGAAGGTGGAAAGAGCTTGATATTCTCCCCCATTATCAGAGTAGAGGGTACGAATTTTACGTTGGAAGTGATTTTCAACTAGAGACTTGAAGCGAACAAAAACATCCAACACAAGAGATTTTCTTTTAAGTGGGTAGAACCAAATATATTTGGTGAAGTGATCAACAAAAATTACATAGTATTTGAAGTCGTCAACAGAATGAATAGGAGAAGTCCATACGTCAGAGAAAATAACTTCGAGAGGAGATGAGGTTGCAAGAGTTGAAATTGAAAATGGTAATTTGTGACTTTTATTGCAATGACAGGAATTACAATTGAAATTCGTATTAAAAGTGCTTGAAAGTTCTAGTGGAAATGAAGTCGCAATGTGCTTAAAAATAGAGGACGACGGATGACCTAGCCTGTGATGCCACTCAAACGAAGTGGTTTTGACACTGGAGAAAGCAATTAGTGGAGATAACTTAGAAGAATTTGGCCACTCATACACACCATCCTTAGTCCGACCTTGTAAAAGGATTGCCCCCGTAC